GAATAATTAATATACATGTAGTAATTATTAAATAAAATGTTATAACCTAAGTGAAAAATATAATACGATTTTTTTAAAAATTGAAAAATAAAAAAAAATGAAATGGGATTATGTTATCGTAATTTATGTATTAAACAAAATTATATTTTCTTACCTTAATCACCTTTATTTGATTTTTATTACTCAATTAAAAAAATATTTGTTTTATTGGATTTGTAACACCCAAGAATTGACTGATATTTTAACTCAACTCAAAATTTTTACCTGATGGTCAGAAAGTGCTCCGATGCGGCGGCAGGTGAACTGTCTTTTTGCACATGGAAATACAAATAAAACTATATATACGTGCATACATATTTCAACTAGATCGATGGCGTACTATCTTTAATAAGTTGATTTGTTGTAAATGCGACGATCTAGTATAATAATGATAAAGGATAATCTAATATCGTACACACTCTTCAAAAATAAATTCAATTTAAATAAAAATTAAATGATATATCAAATTTAATTTATTACGAGTGTCTCAATTAGTAACGCATCTGTTATAAAATATTAATTTTAGTTAAAACTCTGTCATTACAGTATCATTAATAAAAAAATTAAGTTATTAATTCAATTCGATTCAATTAATTATTATAAATCAATTACTATTAAAAGAATTTTATATTTTTTATGAATTTCAAAATAGTAATATGTAAATATAACGTAATAATATTAACTTTTAGGTTACTACGTTAACATTATCAGAAATTAAAAACCGTAAAGATATAAGTCACAAAAATATATTTTTTTGTATAAATTAAAAGAATATTTGTTAATTTTTCTAGTCCATTATAAAATTTGTTAGGTAGTGGTCAATATATATATGTGTGTATATATATATATATATACTTAGAATAAGCATGTGTGTATATAATGTGGAATAGTGGGGAAGCTTTTGGTAGAGAGTGGGTGTACCAAAACGTAAATTTTAGTCAACATATTAATGGTAGTTATAATAATTCCTCAATCATCGCATTTTTTTGTTCATTAAAAATACAAATCCATAGCATTTCGCAAATAAAAAATGGCCGGAAGCCGAAAAATAAAAATAAAGCTTTAAAAAATTACATACGACATTGCATTAGCGGTACCATGTGATTTGGACTCTAAACCGGTCATTTAATCCGACGGCAGAGAGTGATTCCGTCGCCGACCGGGAGCATACAGATGTCGATCCTAGGGTCAGCGGCAAGCGCCTTGTTGAGCTCCAAAACGAAGTCTCTGTAATACCTGACATATTTCCTCATCGGCGCATCTGCTGGCTGCGCCACGGATCCGTTCCATAGGGTGTTGTCGTAGCCGATTATACCCCCGACCTTCACGAGATCAATCAGACGTTTGTGGTAGTTGATGTAGTTGTCTTTATCAGCGTCCACGAAGATGAAGTCGTAAGGATCCATGGTTTCTTCT